CAGTGATGCCAGCACGATTTGTTGAAGATGTTCTCTTTGTTCCACTGTATAAATTTGGATTGTTTCTCAAATATCAGGTGTTCATGGGTGTGTGGGTTAATATCAGGGTTTTCAATTCTATTCCATTGGTCTACCTGTCTATTTTTGTGCCAATACCAAGCTGTTTTCAGGCTCTGTAATAGAGCTTAAAGTTAGGGATGGTGATGCCTCCAGAAGTTCCTCTATTGTACAGGGTTGTTTTGGCTATCCCGGGTCTTTTGTTTCACCATATAAAGTTGAGAATTGTTTTTTCAAGGTCAATGAAGAATTGTGTTGGGATTTTGATGGGGATTGCATTGAATCTGTAGATTGCTTTTGGTAAGATTGCCATTTTTACTATGTTGATCCGGCCTATCCAAGAGCATAGGAGATCTTTCCATTTTCGGGTATCTTCTTTAATTTCTTTCTATAGAGACTCAAAATTCTTATGGTACAGGTCTTTCACTTTTTTGGTTAGTGTTACTCCAAGGTATTTTATGTTGTTTGTGGCATATATTTTTCATATTCTATAAAAGAACCCTCTTCTGCACTTTTCATACTTTCACATGACCCTGGTTATTTCTTCATTATCACTTTGTCTCATCTATGTGGTGAAAGTAAACTATGGCAGTGTCAGTCTTCCTCCTCTAGGAATTTACAACAGAAAAGAAGGAATTTATATAGGACAGCTCTCATTGTTAGAACATTTTTTTATCATTACTAGTCATTTTATTAGTACTTTGTGTTCTGTTTTTTCTCCATTTTTTATTTGAATTAGAAAGATTGTTTTAAATGTATATCCCAGTTCCCTTTCTTTTCCCTCCTCCCCTGCCCCCCACAACTAACACTCTATCTATCCCATACCCTTTCTGCTCCCCAGATAGGGTGAGGCCTTCCATAGGGGGTCTTCAGAGTCTGTCATATAATTTGAGATAGGGTCTAGGCCCACCCCCAAGTGTCAAGGCTCAGGGAGTTTCCCTCTATGTGGAATGGGCTCCCAAAGTCCATTCCTATGCTAGGGATAAGTACTGAACTACTACAAGAGGCCCCATATATTTCTGAGGTCTCCTCACTGACACCCACATTCAGAGGGTCTGGATCAGTCCCAGGCTGATTTCCCAGCTATCAGTCTGGGAACCAAGAGCTCCCCCTTGGTCATGTCAGCTGTTTCTGTGGGTTTCACCCTCCTGGTCTGGACCCCTTTGCTCATCACTCCTTCTCTTCAACTGGATTCCAGTTCAGTTCAGGTTTTAGCTGTGGGTATCTGCTTCTACTTCCACCAGCTGCTGGATGAAGACTTAGGATGCCACATAAGTTAGTCACCAATATCATTATCAGTGGAGGGCATTTAAGGTAGCCTCTCCTCTGTTGATTAGATTGTTAGTTTGTGTCATCTTTGTAGATCTCCAGACATTTCCCTTGTTCCTGATTTAGCTTTAAACCTATAATATCTCCCTCTATTATGGTATCTCTTATCTTGATCTCCTCTATTATTCCCCCTTTATTTCGCTTTGATAACAGCCCTCACTTGGTACTCACATTAAAACTAAAATGACATTTTAGGGAAAATGTCATTAACCCCCTTTCACAGTTAAGGAAGTTAAGACTGAAGAAGTTTGATATCTTTATCAAATTTATTCAGGACTAAGAGATATAGAATATAAATCTTCGGGCTTGCAGTTTGTGCTGTTTTAATGGATCAGGAGCATATTTGTGTTTCAATGAATTATTTGAAAAAAATGTATACCATTTCATGTACTATAAAATTTTTTAAAACAAGTTTCTGTTCACATAGGCATTCTGAATTTTCTTGAAGTCATAGTTGTGCTCTGGTAGTATTGTGTGCAGTTGTGTTTCCTAATTAAACCTACTAATTTCTCATTCCTCTCACCTACAGGTCCTGAGGAGGTGGAGATGAAGTGCGCCTTGAATCATGTTGCTTGTCATGGAGTCAGTGCATGTGTCCATTTGTCACAACTGTGCAATGGGGTGTTAGACTGCCCTAACGGCTTTGATGAAGGAGTGCATTGCCAGGGTAAGTTTGTTACAAAACAATGCAATTGAAATACTCAAATTTGTATAGTCATAAAGATTCAAAAAGAAGTCTTACCCTCCTGTTCTTTCAACTGTAGATGTAGCCCAGAGAGAGAGAGAGAGATTTTATTGCCAGTTTCTCAGTATAAAGTTCAAATATGTAATTATCACAGTTTCTTGAAAAACATGTTAACAAACACACACCCAGACATTGAAGCTAGCATAAAAAAAAAACTATTTCACATAAAAGTGTTCTTTTGAGCAAAGCAGAATGAGAATTCATTATCACAGTAGAGTGACAGCCTACAAGCCTGTTTATTCAATCTTTGTCTTACACAAAATATTCGTAGAAATGCTCCTACAATTTTATATTTCAATCAATGTGTTTGTGGGAAGCATTTTCTTTAATACTACTTCTGTCCTATTATATTATTAACTTTCTTGCAATTTCAAAGTGTTTTTAAATATCAGGCTATCACTCTACAAAGACATGAGAGAAAGTAAAATATAAGTGGAACTGGGACACTCTAGAAATTGGAGATGGGTTGCAAGGAATGAAACATGAGACTAAGAAGCCTAAGAGCTTGTGAAGTTAAGGAGCATCAGGCCAGTTCTGGGTAAAAGAAGAAACCTTCCACACCCACACATCTTATTGCTCTCACTCCAGTTGATAGAGGGCTAAGTCAGGGCTAGGTCAGACTGTGGATGCCTGTACCTATGGGGAATTGTTCCAAATGTCATATTATCTGTACTTGTGTTTGAACACCAGTCCCCTTCCCCAGGTTTTCACAACCTGTCTCTCTACCATCTGGTAGGCAGCAACACACAAGGCTAGTGACAGTCCTGAGGAGCCACCATTTCTTCTGCTGCTATATATTCACTCCTCCATGATCAGTCACAGGGAAGTACTGGAGCCCCTTGGGAGGGATTGAAAGAAGGGAAACATACATGAAAAGATCTTAACAAAATGAGTGAAGCTTTGTAAACAGATTGTAATGACATTGATTTCTACATAGAGAGATTACAAGATTGGCCCAGGAATGGAACAACAGGAGCAAACATCTCCACATTAGGTCACTGAAGTTAGGATATAAACAAGATATGTTCCTCATGTTAGGGTTAGTGAGATGCATGGAATAGAGGAGGTTTTTAAAAACTGAAGGTGTGGTGTTGCATAGACAAATTAATGGATAAGAGTGCTTGATACTCTTGGAAAGGATGTGTGTTCTGTTTCCAGAATATATGTTAGGGAGCTCATAACTGCCTGTAACTCCAGCTCCAGGCAATTTTATGGCATAAATATAAATCCACGGATATATACATGTAAGCACAGACATGAAGAGAAATATAATACAATAAAAGTGGAGAGGCAGTAACATAGAAAAAGGTACCAGTCAGCAAATTTCTAATTTTCTCAGAGGAGCTTACTATCTACATCTCTTTAGAATGTTCACATATAGAGACTGCCTTTTAGATCGTTGGACTTAGACACAACAAGTATTACAGGTAAATTTTCACTTGCTGTTTATGTCAAAAATGGTTCTCCCAATTACCTCTCTATAACATATCATTACAATCTGTTTACAAAGCTTCACTCATTTTGTTAAGATCTGTTTAATAGTAGGATCAAGGCTAAAATATATGCAATTCAAGACTGAGTGTCTAAAAATGCTTTTTATTGAGAAGATGAATTTAGAACTGTGTGTAACTAATTGTACATCAAGATGTGGACAAAACATATAAGTGAACATTAGATTTGTATCATGTATGGGGTTTGTCTTAAAGATGCAAACATGGATATTTGTCAAAACAATGGCTCTGTATGAATGAAGTCTCTCTCTCCAAATTCAGAGTGCTTCCTCCTTGCTCATTGTTGTTAAAAACATGCCTCTTGAAAGATTTCCAAGCACCAGCCCAATGAAGCATCTAGGGACCCTTCTGCTATAGACACAAAATAAGAAAAAATGGTAAAGTACACTTTGTATTGCTGTGTTGAGAACTTCTGAATTCTGTCTCCTAACTCTGCTTTCTTAAAAAAAAAAAAAAAGTTTGTTGCTTTCAGAGCATGTACTCTCATTTAAATAATTACACACAAAGCCTAAGCCATGACTCAGAAATGAATTTGGCTCTTTCTTCCAATGAGTGATTCAAAGTACATTTGGTGGGATATTTGTAGTCATTATGAAAATTAATAATAAGTAAAGCTTAAAGATTGGAACATTATGTTCTGATCTTGGGAATGCTTTTGTGTTTAGTGAATTGTTTTCTGAATGTTTCCTGGATAAATCAATTCTTTTCTAGTCAAAATAATGAAAATATATCTATTATTAATGATTTTCTATAACACAGATATTTTAATCTCCATAATTTGGTTCCAATAGATGGAAAATGGATTTTTATATGGGCATAGTTATAAGAATTTGCTTGTAAGATATTTAACAATAAGCACTGGTAAAATAACCACATTATATTTTCAAAATTTCATCTCTTCCTACACAGTATTTCAAAGTAGTAGCATTATTTCCCTGTCTAAAGTGTAGGAGCAATAAAAGGCATGTATTAAAGTTTGAGATCTATATTCAGGCACCAAGAATGCTAGAAGGAAGTAGCAAAAATGAGGCCACAACATCTATAAAAATGTAATCTTGAATTTGACCTTCTTTGGATAATTGATTATGTCAACATTTTGGTTGGTCATTTGGAAGAAGGATTCTTTACAATTCTAACATTAGTTGCACAAGGAGGCAATGCATGTGGATGCAGTACAGATGACATTATCCAGTCACAATATGCTCTTATTCTGTTAAAAATTATACCAACACTCAATAAATCACTGAGGAAAATTCTTCCACTTTCCATGTCACTACAAAAATGTAACTATGTAATCCATATAGTTTCATTTCATAAAATGGTTAGGGCTCTTTCAAACCTAAGGAGATTAAATATCTGAGGACTTGAAATCCTTCAGAAATGAAACCTTCTGACAAGAAATAATTACCTCCCAAGCACAGTGTATGCACAAAATGCCACACAAGTCTTTTGTAAGTTTTCACTTTTTTTCTGATCCTATTTCTAGGTAGCTCTGGGCCTACTATACATGTAATGAGTGTATTTATCCAGAAATACATAAAAATGTTCTCTTATATGTACATTTATTTCTTTGAAATAATAGCATTAATTTTTAATTACACTGATTCTCACTTAACAATACTAGGATTCAGCCTTAATAATATATGCTCCATCATCTTCAGTCTCTTGTCAAGAATGCGAATGCATTTACTACAAGACTAAACAGAACATTGAAAATGGATAGCTGCCCTTTTATGTTTTGCTTTATTATCCATAGAACTTAAGTCTTATGATAAAGTATTTTTTAAAACATTCTGGAGAGGTTTATTACCAAGAAACTCTTTCAAAATAAAACAAGGTAAATTGTAGCATTTATTCTTTTATAATGATTTACTATTGTAATTTTAGCAGTCTTTTTACTTCCTTGTTTAAGTGTCATATATATTTCAATTTTTCTAAAACAGAATTAATCTAAAAAAATAAACAAGGAGCCCAAATATTCCCTCCCCATATATCAGAATGGAAAAAAATATCTTGGTTTGTTGTTTTGTCAGTCATTGCTTTTTAATAGGCTTAGTTTTAGGAAAATTTTCATATATAGATCAGGGCATTTTAGAGCTAATGTTAGGATTAGAATTGGGCTAGCATTCAGACTGGGATTAGAGTTAGGATAAAGGCTGAGGTTGTGGTTAGGATAAGTGCTACAGTTAGAAATAGGGATAAGAGTAGGTTTAAAATTAGGTCAGTGACTACTTGAGGCTAGGGCTAAGTTAGCATTCTTAATAATTCAAACATTAACTTCAATCTGTTAAGATTTAGTTTAAGCCTACTAGAAAGAATGGGAGGTGGGGTAGCAAGGAAGGAGACAAGAGAGAGGAAAGGGAAGAAACTAATAATCTGGTGAAGACCTTAGATTTTTTTTTAATGTTTACTCTTGCATCAATCCATTTTTAACTAAAATTTTAATAAAATTATGGAATATAATATATGGGGAAATAATTTTAGAGAAGAGAGCCATATTGGCTTCTACCACAGGAGATAGGGGTGGAAAATCACTATTGTCTGCTGAAGTGACATGTACTATTCAAAAACTTGCAGATTAATAGTCATGGTAACATAGATATATAATCACAAACAGGGGAGGTAGAGCTGCTGGTGTATTTGTGGCCAGCCTGGTCTACAGAGAAGATTATGTTTACAAACCTATGGTTAACTGATCAACAAAGCAAGCAGACACACACAAATAAAAGACTTTTATGAAGAAAGAAATGGAACCTGGCATAAAGATCTGGGAATGTGTGGACAGACTACTTCAGATTCAGAAAGGTTTTCTGTATTTGGTGCTCAGTTATGAGAAAGTGGTAAGATTGCCTACAGCCTGTCTCAAGTTAAGTGTTTCTTCTTAGAAATTATTTTTTAGCAATTGAATTAGATAAAAAGGCTCTGACATTTGACCCTTGTGGATTTCCACAACAACTTTAGTCCAAGCAATAAAACAATAATCCTTAGAAAGTGCCTGGGAAATGGCTTAGCCTGCAGGATGTTTGCTGCCACACAAGGACCTTTCCATACAAGGCCCAGCAACCTAGAAAATCTTGAAATACAGTGATGTATAGCTGTAGTCTCAGCACTGGGGAGGAAGAAACCCCAGGTTTCATAGCTTTTCCTGGCTAAAGAGTCTAACTTAATCAATGATCTTGAGGTTCAATAAAAGACCCCAAAACAAAAACATAAAGTGGAGAATGGCTGAGGAAGACATTCAAAAATGATGTCTGACCTCCATACTAATTCATGACCAAGAATGTGTATGCACATAAAAACACATGTACACAATCCCTAGAAAGAATGACTACTTTTTCAATAAATCATCCTTTTTGAAAAATGTCAATTGGTCCATAAGATTTTCATGTTAATGGATTTTTGTATTATTTCACAGATTTAACTAAGACTTAGTCTTCAAAAGGTGGTAATATTGTATATACTGGAAAATGATGAATACATGAAATTTATGATTGTATACAATTGAAAGTCTGCTAGGATATAGTCACTTTGTGCATGGACATACATAGAAACATATGCATATCCATTTATTTATAGAAGTATACATACTTATTTTAGAGTCAAAATTGCATAAATACTATTTAATTTAAAATATGCTTTTATGCTGCTTATATGAAAAATGCAGCTCTCACCTTAAATGGAATAAGAGGAAATTTATTCTAGAGCTACATTTGAGTGCCCATGGCCCTGGATTATAGATTTATATACCCATAAATTCTATGTTCCCAAGTGGAAGCAGTTTCATAAAATTTTTACAGTAACAAAACAAAGAAGGCATAAATACATATTTTAAATACATTGGTGGAAACACCAGAAAAGCATATGCATCAAGATGCAGGAAGCTCTCCTATAAAACTCAGATGCCATCTGATGACATTCTTAGAATTCAGGAATACAGAAGATAGTGCTCTGTTAAGTTAAGAGCTTCCAAAATGTTTTCCTCTGCTAGTCATAGGATGGTAGTGCTAACAAAAGAAGTATGCAAGGGATAATGAGCTATTTTGGGGACCAAAGTTAGATGAACATAAAGCAACTAGACCCTGGACTTGTAGTAATCCAACCTCTCCATATAACTTCAGTTGTTATGAGTCAATCAATCCAGGAATATGCATTGGTAATACCTATATCTGACCTTGGAATATGTATTTATCAGGTGTAGTTACTAAGCTAACAGTCTATGTGAGGCATCATGGTGCAAGATTTAGAAATAAATTAGGTTCTCTTGTCCTACCATTTTGGGCCTATGGGTTATCTTTGATCTTTAGGCTTTGCAGAAAGCATATTCTATTTTTGAAACATATTGCCTACCTGGCATTCAAATTACACCAATCTATTTGAATATGTTGACTTTTTGCGACAACTGGCTAGTGAATTATCTCAGTGCTGTGAAATAGTGGCTAAATACCTTACACTGTAATTCATAATTTAAAGGATAATTAAGCATTCTTTAGTGTTCATCAACAGGAATTCTTTTTGATAAATTTACATCTTCTGTTAACATTGATGCTATACTAAATTCATAATCTCTCTCCAAGCAGACAAATCTTGAAGACTAATTATTTAAATAAAATTAGTCATTAAAAAAGAGGTATCAATATAATAATTGTTTTTAAATGATCTAAAATAAAAGGCAGAGCTATAGAGATGGCTCAGTTAAGTGAAAGCAGATGACCAGGGTTCAAGTTCAGCACCCCACATGGTGGTTCACAACCATTAACCTTTCCAGATCAAAGGAATCTAATGCCCTTGTCTGACCTCCTTAGGAATCAGGCACACATGGGGTGCCCACACATACTTGCAACACACTTAGAGGGAAATAATTTATATCCATTAAATTAATTTTATAAAAATTTATTTATAAAATAGATAAACTCATTAAAACATTTTAACATAAGGTGATTTACTTGTCTATATATATATGTCTTTGTTTAATTTTTTGCTTCCACCTCACTACCTTAGATCTCCAGATATTCCAGGCTGGGTTATTAGGAATGGTCTTCTCTAGCTCCTTTCTTCAATCCTGGAGATTAGCCTGTTGCTGTATCAAATAAACTACAACCTCAGACCCAAACAAGATCTTTATGCGCCAAACATTTCAGATTCTACCTTTCTCTTAAAATAGTATTTTCAAATTAGTAATAAAAGCATATTTCTATGTTTTGATCCAGTTTTTACCTTATATAAGAATCTGGATGTATCATTTACTTCCATTATTGTTGAATTGTCTCTATTTATGATTTAATATATACAAATGAGAAATGTGTCACAGCTACTCCAGTGAAATGTACATTATATGTGTTATCTCATATCTG